TCTCTCTCTCTCTCTCTCTCTCTCTCTCTCTCTCTCTCTCTCTCTCTCTCTCTCTCTCTCTCTCTCTCTCTCTCTCTCTCCCACACACACACACATGCACACATAGAGGGTATAGGTAGACGGCATAGACAGAGGGCATAAGGATTTATACTAACCTGAGTCGCCCATCTCGCAGTCGCGATGCAGTAGGTCGCATAGCAGTAGGTCGCGTAGAAGTTCTTGGCGCCAAACCGTCTCACTCACACACACACACACAGAAACAGCCAGCAGAGACAGAGAGAGAGAGAGAAAGAGAGAGAGAGAGAGAGAAAGAGAGAGAGAGATAGAAAGACAGAGAGAGAGAGGACGCGTAGCGTAGGTCTCGTCGTGTAGAGTAGGTCGCGTCGCCTAGGTCGCGTAGCGTAGGTTGCGTAGGTAGGTCGCATCGTGTAGCGTAGGTTGCGTAGGTAGGTCGCATCGCGTAGGTAGGTCTCGTAGCGTAGCGTAGGTTGCGTAGATATGTCGCGTAGCGTAGCGTAGGTTGCGTAGGTAGGTCGTGTGGCGTAGGGCCGTACTTTCCCGCCCGCCCGCCAACGGTCCTTTCGGACCGTTTTCCCCAAGGCACTGCGGCGATCCGGGCCGTAAACGGCCCGACGGCCCGGATTCGCCTGCGATCTTAAAACTTTAAGATCGCGGGCCGATCTGGGCCGTTGGGCAGGTACAACCGCGAACGGCCTGGTCGCCCCGTGATCTTAAAGATCTAAGATCGGGGCCCAATCCGGGCTGTCGGGCCGGTAGGTCCAAAGACAGCTCGGATTTCAGAATTCAGACATTAGCGATTTTTATAAGTGTAGGGACTGCAGATTCAGGGTCCTCTCGCCAAGCGCAGAATGACCCCGGTTTCAAAAAAAAAAAAAAAATCTGGGCGATTTTTTGTCCTGCCCGTTTTACCCGGGCGGCCCCCGCCGGGCCCAACCGGCTGGGCCCAGCCCGGCAGGGCAGGCCCGGCCGGGCGGCGTCCTCACTCAAATGTTTAGCACATTTGACCACACAGACACCAGTCTCAACCTGCACACACACCATATGTGGATTACACGTACAGGACAGTGGAGGAAAAGGACTACTACTGAGGGCCTATACTGTGTCACATTTTCCAGCAAACTGAGGGCATAAACAGAAACCATTGGCAGGGTAGAGATTAATCTGGATACAAAACGGGCCAGCGCGTCTTCGCTCGCATGAGACAGGATAATGGTGAAATTCAAATAATAAGAAACTGTGAAAGCCGACGAAAATGTGCATACCGCATGCAGCAACATAGTAAGTAGCCAAAAGACAGCGAAATAGAATTTGACTGGATAGACGCAATGATTCAGTTGGATAACATTGAAATGCACACACTGGAAACCTGAGTGGGGGATCCAGGCCGCCCGGGTGACCTGCAGGGGCCCGGGGGATGGGCGGCCGGGCAGGCACCCGGTTGGGGGCAGGGTCCCCCCAGCGCACTCACCTGTCGGGGGATTTCGGACCGCCTTTCGGACCCCCTTTCTGTGTGTGTGTGTGTGGGTGGGTGGGTGAGAGAGAGAGAGAGAGAGAGAGAGATGTGTTCAAATCATACTTGCAGTGCAACTCATGCGCCGGGTGCCGCACGCACATGCACACATGCACAAGTGATGCGGCGCATTAAAAAAATAGAAAAACAAAAATATCCTACCTTCTTAACCCGAAAAAAACGTACATACGTTATATTGGAATTACCTCTGGAAATCGGGTTTTCACAAATCGCTTGTTTTTCCCTGAATACAACATATGTTCAAATATAACGTACGTATGTTGTATAAAAATTTTTGGAACTTTAATTTTTCAAAAATAATAAAAAAATCCGAAAAATAATAAAATGTTATACAACAATGCAATACAAACAACGTTTGCCTGAGGGTCTCATCGAAATTCTACAGGCTTCTGAAAATTTGTACCATAAAACTCGTTCTATAACGTATGTACGTTATATTTGAATACAACATACCCCGTATGTTGTATTCGTATACAAGATACGTACGTTTTTTTTGGGTTAAGAAGGTAGTTGTGTCCAGCCTCTTTTCGGAAGGATCCCCACAGAACATTAGCTAGGACCCGACGTCATGCAGAGATACACTTCAAACTCGTACTCCCTGAGGGTGTGCAGAGAATATATAGTCTGGATTCGAATTCAGGTCCGTGCATGTGGGTTATGGGTCACCATTTCTCTGTTGTCTCGCTTTTCTTTTCTTTTCTCGTTTTTCTTTTCAGTGGCCCTAAGGGCCTTTACTCACCAAATACACAAAAGACAACATATGGTGGCATATTATTCCACGTTCTGCAGAAGATTCATTCAAATTTTGCACATTCGTGAGTAGTGCGTCCAAGCCCTAAGAGTCACGTGCAGAGACCAACAGGCCCTAGCAACGTGAGCAACCCATGACTGCTGAAACACAGACCTGAATTCGAATCTTGAGTATATATTCGGCCAGCTCGTGCTCTATTCCATATTCACTGCCTGCCTCGATTTTGGTGGGGGGGTCTGCGCTACATGTCTGCAAGGACCCTTCAGATAGCCTGCATGGGCTGTCCGAGCCGTGTTGAAGGGATCCTCTCTCTCTCTCTCTCTCTCTCTCTCTCTCTCTCTCTCTCTCTCTCTCTCTCTCTCTCTCTCTCTCTCTCTCTCTCTCTC